TCGCAATTCTAAGATACATATTTAAAAATATTACTCAAATTCAGGAAAAGCCCTAACCTGGGGCATAGTTTTCAATAAAGATGAACTTAAAATTTATGGGAAATTACACTAACTTTTGATTTATTGATAAAATTAAGGGCCGGTTTATAAACAGCGAATTAAATATTTAATCGCCGTTTAATTTAACAGATGATTAAAATGTAGCATACAAGCCTGCGATTAGTTAAAAGATGCACGTTGCCTACCAACGGACCTCAATTAAAAGTTAATCGACAATTAACCTTAATTCGTATTCTATAAACCGGGTCTAGATGTATTTTTAATATTAATCACAAGTGTAGTGATCAGTAGATCGCTCCTAAAAAAGTCGAAAATTAAAATCAGATCATTTGTGAGAAAATTTACTATTTAAGGAATTACTTTCTCCAAAAAGAAATGGAGGTAATAAATAATCCAATCAAAACCAATAAGATTTTCGAAAAGTTTGCAAACAAACAGCTAAGTTTGGCAGAAATTACGTTTTTTTTCAGTATCTTACCATCTGAATAAAATAAATGGTCAAAAGATTTGAACGATGAAAAATTGGGTGGTTTTTGGCAAAACACCTTTCATCTTTCAGATACGAGTAAAAACGCGTTGTTTCTTGCTGTTTTAAGAAGTGGAACTCTTTCAAGAAGATTTTCCTAACTTAAATATTTTCGCAAAAAATGATGATGGCGCCAGGATAAGAGTTGAAACAAAACATCCATTAAAAGAACTAAATTTTTGTAAAAAGATGTTTTTGTTTTTTGTTTGATATCTTAGTATCTATATTTTTGGCAGATTTAAGAAACTATAATTTTTTTATATACAAAAGCATATATGTCTAGTATTTTAGCAATTGCACGAAACATAAACCCAGGGTCGTGATACTGGGAACATATACTACAAGATGGGTCACTTTTTGGAACGATTTTAGTAACAAAATCTGTAATATTAGTGTAACGGTCTTTTTAAAAGGGAAGAATAAATTTTAAATGTATGTTCTATAATAACGATTAAAAGGGTGTTAGGTAAGACCTTGCAAATTTTCACTTCAAAATTTTTAGTTTTCTAATTACATGTAAAAACACTGTTGTCGCTGTAGTTTTTAATATTATTTTTAACAAAGTAACATTTGTATTCCGTAAAAAACGTTAATAATTTCTCATAAAACGAAAAACGGAAAGTAAATATATATCTCTCACCTTTACTTCAACTTCATTTCCGAACCAGCAGTAAATGAAAATTTGGGTGGTAACTCCTGATGCATACATTATTCTAGCTAAACCCACACTACTTATAGGATTAACCTTTAAACAGTTTTTGTTGATTCTCTATGCTAACTTTAGTTGCATTAAACCTACCAAAGATAACTGAAACATCGTTGCTGTGAGGACTAATATACTGGTAAAAAATTGTCCCACAATAATCATTTCGAAAAATTTATTACTATCTTGAGCAAAACTGAAAATAAAAGTTACACATTTTTTAACAACAATACCTGCGGTTAAAAATACCTTAAAATTTCCTTATGTTGCCTAATGCAGTCAGTTATTTGTTTATTAACATTGCAAGAATTTTTGTTCGTAATATTTTGTAAATCGGAACACAAAATGTCACACTGTGCAACTATATACATCATTAAAGCCACAATCAAAGTGTCCATATCTACATTTGCTACAGCAAAGTACCACATTCCCACAGTTTGGTACAAATATGTGAGCTCGTATAATGGTGACATAGTGTTGTTGTAAGGATACCAGGCAGCTAATGGTAATTGCTTACTTTGAGAGGTATTCTTCAGCGGAATAATTGACCACACGAAAGTTGTCACAGCCACAATAAAAAAGAACCAAACGTAAACTGTCTCCCAGATTTTCATGGTAGGTTTGACAATGTTAAGTTGTTGTTCGTTTTTTGGTCCAAAACTACTTCCACTCAATAACTGTACGAGTTTTTTAACTAATCCAATATTTTTTATGAAAAAATATATCTTGATCGAAGCTTGAAGATAAGTAATCGTGATGAAAATAGTGGATGCTAAAGCTTCCAAATGCCTATACACGAAAAATATATTCATGATTTGGAAAAAATTGTTTCCACCCATTATAACAACCACTGATATGAAAGCATAAACTGTGTATAAATTCACTGCATATTTTTCGTTGGTGTTAGGCCACAAACCGACTAATCGTAGCATTAAAATATTTGTTTTAATTGTGTGTGTCCAATCGAATTTTTTACTGGTGGACATATTATTCGCTCGAAAGCTCTTCGTTTACTGACTGGTTAAACAAAGTTTTGGAGTGAAACTGTATTCCGCGCATAAAAAAGGCTAGCAAATTATATGACAGGGATAAATCACAATGCAATCTAATTTATGCATATTTTATTAAGTCTGAATAAATGACATGGATGTATCGTTCAGTCTTTAGTTAGGAGACTAAACAATATACAATTTTTAACGTATCTACGTATTTGATTTTTATGCAATTTGTCGGATGTTTGCGCTTATTGCACTCATTGAGAATCAGTAATCAGTCGTTTATTGTTGGGTTAAAATCAATAGAAAAGATATTTTAAAAAACCGTCTTATAAGATGTTAGGTGAAAGATGTTGTTGATTAGTGTTACTGAGTGATCATTTTAAAAATTCTGATCATAAGAAGTAAAAAAAAATCTCTTTAAATTTTTTAGTGAAAATATATAGGATGTTTCAGCTACTGATAGAATAAATGCAATAATTACAAGGCTAACTCTAACAGATTTTTTTTGTATTTACGCTCTTTTTAAGTTGTTGTAGATATTTGTGACGTCATCTCCTCTCGAGCTATGACGTTATAGGCTTTGTTTTTAAATAGAATTTTATAGTTTTTATGTTAAGTATTATCGATCATACCTTTAAAGATATTTTCAACAAACCCATGCTCCAATTCAAGGTTAAAAACTTGTCAAAAATTGTTGGGTGTTTCTCGAAAAACAAAAAATCTACTAATATTGAATTTTTTACTAATTAAGAAATTTTTTCAGGTAACATATCTATTGGTTAGATAAAATGTGCATTTCAAAACTATGAAAGATACAGATAGCATGTAGAGTATTATATTATTATTCCTTAAGGACAACAAATACATATTTTTTAAGTTTATCCTGTTTAAGTAATTCAGACAAATTATATGTTACCACAACGTTTCAAGGAATATTTTTTTACAAACTTTTTTAGTGTTTTTTGTAAGAATACGCTTAATAATATTTTAAAATATTTTTTTTGAGGTTATACCAGGAAACACACTGGGTTCGGAGATTGTATACACAGAGATTTAGTCCTTGGGTTAATTTAATTTTTTTTGTGTTTTGATGTTTTTTGGAAAGATTAAAAAAATCAGTTATGGTGTTCTATATTTTGAGAACTTTTGTTTTATTAAATATTCAATCTAACACATCACAGACTCAACTCTTAGGTAGGATTACAAAGTTCTTCAATCTTTCAAGTAAATTTTGTGGAGAATTTTTCGCCCTACATTGACAACAAAATAATCAAACAATTTTAAAATTTGTACCAAATAAGTACACAAAAATTTTTGTTTCGTCAAAAATTGTTATAGAGTTAATATCTATCTTACCTTGAGATTAACTTGATTTCCAAACCAGCAGTAAATAAATATTTCAGTAATTATTGCTATCGCGTATAATACAGTAACGAATCCTTCTTCGCTTAGAGGATCCACCTTAATATACATTATTTTATTAGAGAATATATAAAAAAACCAACTCACCAAGGTTAACATAAACAAAGTTGTCGCAATAACGACCGTACTAGTAACGAATTGACCCAAAATAACCATTTCGAAAAGATCATTAACATTTTGAGAAAAACTGAAACTAATAATTTCCCAACAATTGTTTGATTATTAATGTTTTGCATACCTTAAAATTTCCTTGTGGTGTTTCAAACATGAAACTAATCTCTGACTAAAACTGGAGCGTTCATTTGTCAGATTCTTACAGTCGTCGCATAAAATATCACACTGAACGACAATATACGTTAGTAAAGCGTAAAACAATGTGCCAATATTTACATTCGAAATAGCTATATACCACATTCCAATAACTTGGTATGAATATGTCAATTCATAGAAAGGCGTTACTGTATAATCGTATGGATACCATGCAGCAAACGGCAACTGGTTTTTGTTAACGGACTGGACGACTATAGTTGAAACAACAATAAACATAAAGCTTCTATGTACATTTTTCCAAAAATCTAAGGTAGGTTCAATCAATTCCATCTGCTTTTCGTTTCTGGGTTGAAATACATCCTTCTTTAATAAACTCAATAAATTTTTTAGCCTTCCTATATTTTGAGTAAAAAAGTATACTTTTACTAACACTAGTACTTCGGTACTTGTAATAAAAATGGTTGTTGCTAGAGCTTCTAGGTCTTTGTACACGAAACAAATGTTTATAATTTGGAAGAAATTGTGACCACCCATGATCACAACAATCGTGATAAATGCATACATAGTGTACAGATTTAATGTGTATGTGTTGTCGTCTTCTGGCCACAGTCCCATTAACTTTAATATTACAATATTTGTTCGTATTGTACGTTTGAAATTGAGCTTTTGCATTATGAGCCCAGTTACTTCACGTTTAATTTACTGATAGATTCTGATAATGTTCAGTGGTTTTATAACTTCTGATGATGACAATTCAGCCTTGTATTTTAAAATTACGATATCAAATATGCATTATTTGGGAAATGACGTGGGTATCATTATCTAATTTAACAGAACAAAACTACCTAATTAAGTGTAGTCGAATTGTAAATATTTAATTGTGTCCTAATTAGTAGGAGAAAATGGGTGTATCTCATTCAGGGTTATTATTTCATTTTTTACGCAGTTGCATAATAACTAAGTTTCCAACATTTTATAAATTAGTATAAAGTAAAACAGAAGCACATCTGTGTATTAACTGTTATAGTAAAGTCTGTGGAATAATCAAGTTACAAAAAGGTAATGTATACGATTACGAAAACTTTAACTTTTTTGTAGAAAATTCGTTAAACAACTGCTTCTAAGAAGATAAAATAAAATAAAAAGAATCAGCATTTCATGTATTTTTTTGCTTATTAGAAGTAAAAATGTAGAAAAGATAATCAACGTGTGTCTACAACATTTAAGAAATAAATCATGGTGAAAAAATATTTGTCTTAATTTCGTGATTTTTTTTATTAAAAACGATATACATCACTAAAATAATTCGCTGAGTTACCGTTTAGGAAGGATTAGAAAGTTTTACGACAAGGTATTTTAATAAATGTTGAGAATCACTTCACATGATTTTGAACTTAGAAAAAATAGGTAATTAAGACAACAAATTTATAATTTACTTCGGTTTTAAGGACGGAACGAAAATGATTAAATAAATCACTTTTGATGCGAAAATCTAGCTTAAAACGGAGCTTACCTTGAGATCAACTTGGTTTCCAAACCAGCAGTAAATAAATATTTCTGTGATAACTGCCATTGCGTATAGTACGGTAATTAATCCTTCTTTGCTTAAAGGATCCACCTTAATAAACATTATTTTTATTAGAGAATACAAATCCAAACCAACTCACCAAAGTTAGCATAAACAAAGTAGTTGCAATAACGATCGTGCTAGTAACGAACTGACCCAAAATAACCATTTCGAAAAGATCATTAACGCTTTCAGAAAAACTGAAAAGAATTGCTAAAATTTCACAATTTTTGTTTATATTTCGCATACCTTAAAATTTCCTTGTGGTGTTTTATACATGAAATTATTCTCTGATTAGAAATTAAAGGTCCAGTCAGATTCTTACAATCGTCGCATAAAATATCGCATTGCACGACGACGTACGTCAATAAAGCATAAAACAATGTGCCGATATTTACATTCGACAGAGCTATGTACCACATTCCAACCACTTGATATAAATATGTCAATTCATACAGCGGAGAAATCGTGTAATCGTAGGGATACCATGCAGAGAAAGGCAGCTGGTTTTTATTAATGGATTGGACGATTATAGTTGAAACAACGATAAACATAAAGCTTCCATGTACGTTTTTCCAAAAATTTAAAATCGGTTTAATCATCTCTACCTGCCTTTCGTTTCTAGGTTGAAATACGTCTTTCTTTAATAAACTCAGTAATTTTTTCAGTCTTCCTATATTTTGCGTAAAGAAGTATACTTTTACTAACACTAAAACTTCAGTGCTTGTAATAAAAATGGTGGTTGCTAAAGCTTCTAAGTCTGTGTAAACGAAACAAATGTTCACAGTTTGGAAGAAATTGTGACCACCCATAATGACGACTATCGACACGAATGCATAAATGGAATATAAATTTAATTTGTACACTTCGTCTTCTTGAGGCCAGAGCCCTAGTAATTGTAGTATAAAAATATTTCTCTTTATTGTAAAGTTCCAGTCTATTGTTAACATGCTGAACGTTTCGTTTGGCGCGATTTAGCTGACTGGTCAGTTTGGTAGAGCTTTAGATTCTGAACGGGAAGCTTTTCAACGTAAATTATATAACATTAAAAACTGATATCTAGTTTATGCATTATTTATTTCTAAATAACAGTCTGCTAAATCGACGTTGAGCAATGGATGGTCTTTCATTATTGGAACATGGTAAAAGTCTTTTATTTAAATGAAATAAATTGTGTCGTGAGTTGCCTTCTCATTAAATTTATTTTAGATCGAAAGTTCTGGAATATTATTTATTATATGATTTTATTATATGCCATGCTTCGAAAAAAAAATAGCGAAGCGATCCTATCGATCTTTGTTATTATTACATTTATGGCAGTTCACTTAAAATGTGTGGAATGCATATAATAAAATAGCACGTCTAAACGAGTAATAATTAAGTATGTTTATACTCGAAAAAAAAAATTGATAGGGAATTCTTCCAATGATGATTTATTTATTTATTAACCTTCTTGACTTTTGCATTACTGTCCATATTTGTGAAAACTATCACAAAATCTTTTAATAAATTCTAAGGTAAAGTTTATAATTCGCAAATTCAAGATTTTTTCTAACTTAAAATTTGCGTCCCATTACCAAACGTCTAATTATGTTTCCCGTTTCCGTCTGTTTGTCATGTTTTGGTGATTTTGTCAAGCCTATAATCTCCGAAATTTTCTAGATTGGTTAGAGTGAATTTTTGGATGTTCTTTGAAATTATCATGTGAATAGTAAAACACTAACTAAAACCGATTTATCCCCACCAAAACTTCTTTTTTTGCGTGGTCAATTATTTTTTTTATTGTCTAAATTTTATAAAATTTCCTATACTTGTGATTCATGAATCTTTCTTGGGTTTTTGTCCTAGCCATTTTTGTAAAAAAAAATCGATAACTATAAATGCGAAAATGCGCGGGTTTAGTGCCGTCATGGGCCACTTTTTTTCTTACACTGTGACTGTTATATAATTATATATATTTTAAAAAACTATATAATAAAATGACAGCAATTTTCATGCACGATGGCCAAATTCAGTACGCGTCATAAGTTATATGGGATTTTACTTTTTCGCTCACATGTTACCGTCAAGAAATTACGTTATATTTTTTTAAAGTTGACACTTTAAATCAATTTTGATATTTTTGTTTTCATCTTCAACTTCAACATCGTTGTAAATTTTACTTTTTTTGTGTCAAAATTAATTCAATATCTGAGAACATTCATGGTGAAATAACTAACATTTATTGTTCACAACAAATAAAAACATTTTCGGTCATAAACTCGATTTATTGCAATATTTATCTCATTTTTTTGTTGTTGATGACATCATCTCAAAAATGTTTTCAATAATTATACATTAAAAAATATGCCTCGAAATACAATGCTATTTGCGTTTTAATAATACGGTTGTAAATTTTGAAACTATTTTTTTAAAAACGAATTTTATGTGATTTTGGAAACAAAGTAGTGCTGTTATTGGTGTTAACACTTGCATGTCAAAATTAATAAATATGTTCCCAACGAAAAAGTAAGATAAAAATATTATTAAATAAACAATATGCCTTAAAGCGAGTTTTTTTGGAAGTTTAAATTTAAAAAATAGTAACAAATTTTGTTCTTCTACAGATTTGTGTTTTCAATATTAAAAATTGTGTTGTGCTCACCTTAAAATGAACTTGCTCTCCAAACCAACTGTACATAAATATTTCCGTAATTATTGCGACCGAGTAAACTACGACTATTAGTCCTTCGTTACTTAAAGGATCCACCTTCATAAAGAGTTTTTCTTAACACAGGATACAAAACAGTAAAAATTAACTCACCAAAGTTAACATAAACAAGGTTGTTGCAATCACGGCTGTGCTGGTAACGAATTGACCCAAAATAACCATTTCGAAAACTTCGTTAGAGCTTTTAGCAAATCTAGAAGTAAGGGGTGTGAGTTTTCTGCGTTTACTTCTATTCGTTACCGTATACCTCACAATTTTCTTGTGATGTTTAATGCACGAAATTATATTTTGAGTAGAACTGAAATGTCCATTTGTCACATTTTTACAGTTGTCACACAAAAGATCACACTGGACGACAATGTACGTCAGTAAAGCAAAAAACAATGTGTTAATATTTACATCCGACATAGCTATGTACCATATTCCAAGAGCCTGGTATAAGTATGTCAGTTCATACCAAGGTGATACTGTACTATCGTAGGGATACCATGCGGGGAAAGGAAACTTTTTCTTTTGTACTGATTCTGTTAGGAACGGAATACTACTCCACACAATTGAAGTTAAACCAACATTAAATAAAAAGCACCCATATATAATTTTCCAAAAATTTACAGTAGAATTTACGAGCTCCAACTGCTTTTCGTTTTTAGGTTGAAATGAATCTTGGTTTAGAGACGTCAATAACTTTTTCACGGTTCCAATATTTTGTACAAAGAAATATATTTTTACCACCACCAACACTTCTTCACTCATAGTAAAAATAGTAGTCGCCAAGGCTTTTAAGTCGTTGTAGACGAAATAAATATTTAAAATTTGGAAGAAATTATGACCTGCCATAATTACAACTATTGACACGAATGCATAAGTGGAGTATAAATTTAATTTGTACTCTTCGTCTTCTTTAGGCCACAACCCCAATAGTTGTAATATTAGAATATTTGTTCTTATTGTATTTTTCCAGTTTAATTTTAACATACTGAACTTTTAAACACTTGTTACGATTTAGCGACTGGTCGGCTGGGCAGAGCTTTCACGTTTGAACAGAAAGCTCTTCCTTGCATGAAATAAAACTGATATAAAATATTAAAACTGATACTCAATGTATGCATAATTTATGGCTAAATAGTTCTCTGCTAAATCGACATTAACCAGTGGATGGTCTTTCATTATTGGAACATGGTAAAAGTCGGTTATTTAAGTGAAATATATACTGAATCCTGAGTTACTTTCTTATTAGATTCATTTTAAATCGAAGCGGAATATTTTATTTAATCTAGTATGATATGCCATGCTTCGAAAAAAAAAAATAGTGAAGCGATCCGTCTTTGTTGTTGTATTTAAGGCAGCTAACATAAAATGGGTCAAATTTTACAAAAATATCACATTACGTCAAACAATATGTATGTTTATCCTCAAAATATTATACCGACTTGTTGCAAGATGATTCCTTTTAACTATTTCATACAAAATATTTCATATTAGAAGCTTAATTTTTCGATGACGAAATGCTTGTCTCCAGCTATACTGGTTTATTTCTTTTAATAAAGGGACTATCGTGTTTGCATTTCTTTTTTGTGCTTTGGTAATATTCAACACCGTACCTAAATTGTCATTTTTTTTTTGGGAAAATTTGTATGTAGCTTTTTGCTTATAATCAGTAAGTGTTATTATGTTATTAATCTTTCTGATTTTTGTTTAGGTGTTCATATTTGTAAAAAATGTGTCTTTCCGGAAAAACGATTCTTTGTCAAGCCTTAAAAATCTTTTAATAGTTTCCAAGGTAAAGTTTAAAATTCAAAAATCTAAAAAGCTATTTTGGTCTTGACACATGATAACTTTTTTGTTTGCCGTGTTTCGGCGATTTTGTTAGATATGAAGTTTTAAATATGTTTTCTAATTATCTTCTGAACTAACCAAAATCTCGTCGTCTCTACCAAAATTTTGATTATGACATCTCAAGAGTTGCATGCTAAATGCTTTTTAAATTTTATTGAAAAAAAAACATTCTAGTGTACTTGTGGTTTATGAATCTCTTTTAGGTTTTTTATCCTAGCCATCCAGATTTGCACAAAAAAAATCAGAACTGTGTAACATTTTATACTAATATACGAAGAACGTTCCGTAAGCGGTCAATAATTGATATGGTTTCGCGTGTGTCAGTAATGCGAAAGTCGCGGATTCGATGCCCTCATGGGCTATTTTTTTCTTATAATGTGACTGCTGAGATTTTCATTTATTTGTTTTATAATATAATGAGCCACTGGAGTATTTTTGGAAACATTTTATACAAGCAGCTCAGAAATCAAAAAGTAGGAAATAGCTTGAAAAATATTTTTTTGATATATTGGTTTTGATATTATTATCAAATAACTTCAGCAGTTCTGTGAGTAGATAATTCTCTACTCTAACCTGGAATGAAATGTAAAATTTGAAAATTGAAAGATATTTTTGCTGTCCTAACTTACGCAAAGGATATATAGTAACAGAGTCATTCGAACAAAAATTTTCACGACATTTAACAACTTGGGGAATACAAAATCTTTGAAATGTGTGGATTGTATATTGTAAGTAATTAGGTGAAATTGTCATGTAGATGATGAAAAGCTGAGTAAAATGTCTCCGTATCCTCATCAAAAATTTGATTTAAAAATTTTGATAGGCAAATATGATGTAAAATTTGTATTGTGATAACTTTCTTTATTTGTGGTTTAATAATGTATGAGATTTTAACTTTTCCGCTTATAGGTTAAATTTTTTTTGTGTGATGCCTATTTCATTTTTGCAAATTTTGGAGAAGATTTTTATCTGTATAAATTAATTCAACATCTGAGAACATTTATATATTAATCCCTTTTAGAATATTGATGACGTCAGCTCAAAAATTAATTCAATAAATCTACATTAAAAAATATGCCTCGATATACAATACTATTTGCGATTTAATAATAACTTTTTAAATTTTGGAAGCTTATATCTCAGGAAACAATTTTATTGATACCGTCAATAACGAATTACTGGATTTTGCGTGATTTTGCCAAATAGTGGTGCTATTATTTGTTTAATACTTACAAATCAAAACTAAAATCGTTGATTCTACTAAGGAGTAGATGAAATTACTTTCTTATTATAACTGTATTTTTTTATGCATCCAAAAACTTGACGACGTCATATGTTTATTATTATTAAATAAATATTTACTGGAAACTGTGCCTCGAGGCAAATTTTTTGAAAGATATAATTTACAAAGACTAAAAAATTTTGTTGGTCTGCGTTTTATTATTTACCTTTAAACTTACAGCACCTCTTCAAAATTCTCTAACATACTTTTACAGGGTTACAACAACAAAATCTAAATTTACAACTTCAATATAAAAATTGTGTTGTGCTCACCTTGGTATGAACCTGCTCTCCAAACCAGCAGTAAATAAATATTTCTGTAATTATTGACATCGCGTAAAATACAACAATTAGTCCTTCTTTGCTTAAAGGATCCACCTTCAAAAAGTGTTCTTCTTGGCAGAGGTTACAAAATAATAAACATAACTCACCAAAGTTAACATAAACAAGGTCGTTGCAATTACGGTCGTGCTAGTAACGAACTGCCCCAAAATAACCATTTCGAAAAGTTCGTTAGTACTTTGAGCAAATCTAGAATTAGCTGTTGTTAGCTTTGTGCATTTATTGCCACTCATTACCAGATACCTCAGAATTTCCTTGTGATGTTTAACACAAGAAATTACTTTTTCGATACAATTGAAGTGTCCACTTGCCAAATTCTGAGAGTTGTCACACAAAAGATCACACTGAACGACAATGTATGTCAATAAAGCATAAAATAGTGAGCCAATGTTTACATTTGACATACATATATACCACATTGCAATAATTTGGTATAAAAATGTCAGTTCGTACAACGGTGATATTGTACTGTCATAGGGATACCATGCGGCGAAAGGTAATTGCTTCTTTTCTACTGATTGTGTTAGAAACGGAAGAATGCTCCATACAATTGAAGTAAAACCAACAATAAATAAAAAACATCCATACACAATTTTCCAAAAATTAACACTACAGTGTACGAGTTCCAACTGCTTTTCGTTTTTGGGTTGAAACATATCCTGGCTCAGCGAAGTCAACAATTGTTTCACGGTTCCAATATTTTTTGTAAAGAAATATATTTTTGCTGACACCAACACTTCTTCACTTATAATAAAAATAGTAGTCGCCAAAGCTTTTAAGTCATTGTAGACGAAATAAATATTTAAAATTTGAAAGAAATTATGACCGCCCATAATTACAACTATTGACACGAATGCATAAGTGAAGTATAAATTTAATTTGTATTGTTCGTTTTCTTTGGGCCACAACCCCAGTAGTTGTAACATTAGAATATTTTTTCTTATTGTATTTTCCCACTCTAATTTTAGCATACTGAACTTTTAAACACTTTTGACGATTTGGCTGACTGGTCGGCTCGATGGAACATTCACGTTTGAACAGAAAACTCTTCCACGCATAAAATAAAATTGATGTGATTTAAAAACTGATAATCAATATATGCATATTTTATAGCTAAATAACTCTCTAATAAATTGACATTAAGCAGTGACTGGTCTTTCATTACTGGAACATGGTAAAAGTCTTTTATTTCAGCGAAATAAATACTTTATTGTGAGTTATTTTCCCATAGCAATAACATTCAATTCAAAGAAAGAATTTCAGAATATTATTTAGAAAACTGCGGAATATTTTATTGTATATAGTGATATGATATCCCATGTTCGGAAAAAAAAATTCATTAGGTGATCTTTGTTATATTATCTGCAGGCCGTTCACTTAATTTGCCTGAAATTAATACATATATAAAACAGCAAGATAAAAAAGTAATAAACGTGTTTATACTCAAAAAGAAAAAAAATGATGACGAGTTATTGCAAGATGATTCCTTTTAAGTAATTAATCTTATGAAATATTGTATATTTAAAGCTTCATTTTAAACTGATGAAATCGCTTATACGATGGTGAGATGACATTAATCATTTTTTTTAAATAGAAGAACTGTCTTTTTTCTTTTCTGTGGTTAGATCATTCACCACCCTAATTAATGTGTCATAATTTTTTGTGGCAAAAGTTGATTGTGTGTCAAAATTGCTGGGTTTAAAAGGCATATAGCTACTGGCTTTCTTGATTTTTGGTTTATCGGCCATATTTGTAAAAAATGTTTTTTTTCCGAAACGGTTCTTAATGGTTTCTGTGAGAAACTTTAAAATTTGAAAATCCAAGACTTGCTTTAGCTCTTCGAGCTTCACTGTAATATTGACATTTTGAGGAACGCTAAATTCATGTTGCCTTGACGCTTTACAGCTTTTAGAATAAGGAAAATTAGCGTTTACATTTTCGTCTGTCTATCTACTTTCGGAGATTTAAGAAGATCGATAATCTTCGAAACTAATGGATTGATTAACGTGAAATTTCACATGTGTTTTCAAGTTAACGTGTACATGGTAAAACACTAACTAAAATTTTCCTCTTCAACCTCACCAGAAATCTGATCACAATATCTAAGAACTTTGCTTAGTAAATATCTTGCGGTCTGTAATTTTTTTTTTTTTTTGTACAAGAAATGTCCCAGCCTAAGATTTTTTTAAGTTCTTGATTTATGCAATTTTAATCCCCAACTTCGTCATCTTGGTCACCATCAGACAAAACAATTTTCATTAGCATATTTGACTTAAATGTTTGTTCACCATTATGATAAATTTTTGACATCGTCTTATAATTTATTAAATAAATCTATACTAAAAAATGTGTCGTGAAATAGATTGTTATTTTATTTTTAGAATTTATACATATTGGATCTTCAAAAAAATCAGATTTGTGTAATTTATTTTGTTAGTTGTATAAAAAATGCCATATCCGATTTTTCCGTAAAAAAATTATTAAAATCTGTGCTTTGTGAAAACCAAGTAGTTTTTTGATAA